CAAGCCCGCCACAACCTCCCAAAACCGCTGCAACTCCTGTAAGCCAGGATCTACAGTAGATACAACCATGAAAACACCGGAACATTGAAGTCCGGCGCGTCCCAGGCACATGAGTAACTGTCTTGGTTCACGCAACGAAGTGAATCAGAAGATATTATAAGAGAAGAAAAAAAAACTATAGTTTCCACTTCCCTCGGTGAATGACTGCAGGAGACAGAATGAATTAAACCTAAAGGCACAAAGAACTCTCGCTGGGCTGTCAGACTTGCAATTATATTTAACGAAAATAGACGGCCCATCTAAGAACCTTATTATATCTTTCCTTTTCTTTTTTTTTAACGTTACCCCACACTAGGATTTTACGGGGCCGCGGAGAACTTAACGGGTTACCGGGGCTCCGGTTCAAAGTGCAGGAGTAGGAACGGGGTGGTTTTTAGTCAGTAAGAGTCCGACATCCCTTGATGATTTTTCCCCCTTAAAAAATAAACACTAGGATTGTCGCCTGCGTCGTGAGTGCGTTTACAAACAGCTTTTTCGAGCTGATTATTTAGAGTCAGTTCACATACGCATGACACCCGGACCCGAAACAAGAATTTGTGGATCACACAAAGAGTTGTTTCGTGCGGGAATCGAGCCCGCTACACGTCACACGGCAGCCGGTGTGCCAACCGTACAGTTGACTCGATCTTAACACCTTAATATACTAGTAGTTATAATTAAAATTTAACCTAACCAAAAATTCGTGATACTCCACAATAAAGCTAGTTCGTTAGTTTATTTCAGTTTTCAACTCTGACATTCCAGATTCTAGACTTAAAACTATTTAGGTCACATTCACATGCCTATGCCGTGTTTTGTCGAGCGGATTTTAATTAAAAGTCTGGATCGGTATTCTGTTTATAGTGAGAAATGCTTTCTTTATTAATAGGTCTTTTTTATATTATACTTAATATTGACAATAAAGAATCAATAAATGTATGTCTTCGTAGACTATCCTATTCATTCGTTCGACTATCAGTTAGGTAAATGATATGATGAGCTTGACAGATATGTTTACTCGAAAATTCACCTTCAACTCATCTCATAAAGTTTAGTTTTATATGAGCAGGTTATTTATTAAATACTCCATGTTCTGTTAATCAATAAAGATGTTCACAGCCAACCAATACGAATTCCTGAATGCGCTGCAATGTAGTCGGGAACAATTAAGTTCCATTGGTTATGTGATGGAATTAATATACCCCCCTTTCTGCGGTACCACAGATGACAAATTCCATGTCCCAATTTACTAAGATTACACGTAAAGCCAGCTTTAGTATACCATCTCATTTTTAAACGAAATAAATCTTCATAATCCTTATTTTGACACTTCAGAATAACCCGTAATCGCCCTTCGAACAAACATCAGAACATGTCAAGGGCGTTAATAGGATTACCAAAAACGACCCCACTGCATGTAACACGCGTCTTAATTACTATTTAACACGAAAAACAAAGTTAATCAACACGCGATTTTAACGAAAATAACCCTTCTATCAAGGTGTGAAAGTGCATGTAGACAGCGCGTTAGTTAATGTGAGTTGTGTAGCATTTGATTGTTTAATGGTTGGAATAGTTATTCTTGGTGATATAGTAATCCATCATGGTTTCTTGGAATGGGTATGAGTAATGTACTGTTTCGATACTGAAGTGAGGGTAGACCTAGTTCTGTCAATAAGAACTAAGTGTATTAGATACATTGTTGTCAATGTAAATTGTAGTAACAGTAGCTTAAATGTACCTCTTAACAGCAATGCTATTGAGCTTTCATTACCATAATTGTTAAGTGTAGGAGAGCCATGCTTCGGCACGAAACAGTTGACTCTACAGGAGTGTTACCACGGCCGCTTAGACAACCGAAATTGAGGTTACCGGAGGCCCAATTACCCTTAACCCCAATCTCCCCAATCTCCGAATCCCCAACAATATTCAAATTTCTAATCCCCAAAAGGCTAGTTTTGGGTGTCCATGGGCATCGCCGATTACTTACCATCGAGTGATTCGTCTGCTCGTTTACACATTTATTCCGTAAATAAAATTTAAATTTGAGGAATATGAATATTAAGCTTGCATTTAAAGAGAGGTTTGAATTTAGGCTTTTGAAAATTGACCATTCAATAAAAACATTCTCAAATACGGATCACAAATCACGCGGAAGACAAAACCAAATCCAATACAATCAGATTTGTAACCACACAACATAAATAACACGTAATAGGAAAACCACAACACTAAAGTGTGGCCCAACATTATTGGCCTACACTGTACCTAATGGACTGACGTTCCCGTTTTGTCGCAAGTCCAAACGACGGAAGTGGGTCAATATTGCGCGACCACAGTGTACCCGTTTGACATTACTTTAACACTATTTCATTCTTTGCGGTGCTTTGGTACCGTATAGACTTATTTGGTTCTATGTGGGCCATCAAGGCGATGCTATTGGAACCTAGGACGTGTTAGTTAAATTGGTAGGCTTATGGAGCTTGATGCAGTGTCTATTTTTGGTTTGGAGTACTGCAGGCTTCATAATAAGTTTTAAATGGTTGATGATAGTCGAAACTAATTTGAATCATATTATCTACATTTTAAAGTGTTTTTTTTTTGTTGTGGGATAATTTTGTTTTGCATTTATGCAAATCCTTATTTAAAACAGTTTAGCTAAACGTTTTTGTTACCTATGTTTTTGGTACCTAGTTCGTGTTAACAATGATAGGCAACTTCACACAATGCATTCATAACGAGACCATCTGGCCATGGCTATTAGGTGCACGAGGCTTACAAAAAAGTGTCTAGCCAATTAATTGGGCGCCTAAGTGTTGTCAAACACATCTAACCGTGGATTCGTCTATCAATTTTTGTCTAAGGCAAACTGAACATGTGTTCCCTTTTGAGAAACTATTTCCAATATCAATAGTTTCAAAGTTTGGGCACTAAGTGAACGGACGGATTAAATATCGGAGTTGGACGGAAGCCCAGACACATTCGAAGTAGATTATCGACATCTCATACCGATCAGTCGTGACGAAAAATCGGAAAGAATGAGCTAATATTGTAATAGTCTTGTGGCTAGGAAATCCATGATATCATCTAGACACCTATTTATAATCACCTTTATATTTTAATCATCGTGACGGGACATCCAGCCCACGTTCGCGGCTTCCGTCGTGGTTTACTGACCTTATGACGTCATTAGCCATCACCAGCACCATTGTTTAACACACAATGGCCTTATATCCACTAATTTGTCAATGGTGAAATTTTTTTGGTACTAATTACGCAATTTCTCGGTTCGTGATCTTGTCAGCGGATTGGGAGATTGTTCCAGAAAGTGATTAGGTATTTTTTGACCTAGATTGCTAAAATGGATTTCTGTGTAGCTTTTTCCTTTGAGGAGTTTAAGGAAAAGTTTGTGTGGCGTTGGTCTGTTGGTCATTAGTCTTTGTTTCTTGGTGGTGGACGTCTTTGGTGATGGTTTTTACTGTACATCTTTATAGTAACCTTAACTCTTCTCTTAAATTACTTTCAATATAACACAATACATACTCATTGACTCCTGTTATAATAGGCCAAATGTCTTTCTATGTAGGTCATTCGCATAGAACTAATACCCCACAAACAATATCAGCTATTATCATTCTAAAACAATAATCCGAGCAATAAAAGTAAATAAAACAATAAATGCGATAGTATTAAAAATAATATCTAGCTACTCGTTTTACTAAAAAAATAACACAGAAAGAAATAGAAAAATCTTTGACTTTCTTGTAAATTTCATTGAATAACTGCGAGATAAATTATAGAAAGAAAATGTAAAATTATACCGGTTTTATACGTTTGATGCCTTGAAGAGGCTGGAAGTTCGTGTATTGTAAGGTTTCATATACCTTTTAAACAACAACTCTAACTGATGTCAATACTGAATTAACTGCTACACTAGTACTAGTACTATAATTCGGAATTATCAATCGATAGGACTCACCACACATTCAAAACTCCAGTAAGAGTCTGACACTCCCTCTCGTCTCACCCAATACAGGAGAAGTCATTGGATGATTTCCCCCCTCAAAAAAAAAGCGCTATAAAAATAGTGAAATAAAAAATAAAGAAAAGAAAAGATGCCTAATTTTTATTTTAATGTCCGTCTGGTAGATTATTTTAAAACATTATACACGTATTTTTTATTTTTTCACTCCTAAAATTTGATTCGTTATATCTAAGTATCATTTTATAATACAACAAAATAAAAAATACGTGTCTAATATTTTTTCATTACCTAACTGACGGACTAATTAGATTTTTATTTTCATACCCTGTCATCATCGCTATTGTACATAATGTAGCGCCTCGCCTAGCATGTATAATTGTATGTGTAGAATAAGTCAACGCTGTGTAAATGGTCCAGTATATAACATAACAGCTTGTATGTAAATGTGTAACTACCTATGCTATGTTGATTCGCTGTAACATATCGCTTTGGATACGCGTAAACTAGTAGGGGTCATGTATTCAGAAAATTTTGATTTTTGTGTAGGAGCCTTGACCTCTTTACATTTCGAAGATTTTGTCTAAAATAAGTACCTAGTATTTGTATATTTTATTTGTTAGTTGTTGTTTTAGTCCTAAGTTTTGATAGACAATATTTTATGATCAGCATAATTATAACTTACTTTCAAAAAAAGAAGAAGTTCTATGGTCGGATGACTGTTTTTTTGTTATATAATAATATGTTATCTGTGTAATGATCACTTATATTACACAAAACAATAAGGTTCATTGCAGAAATTTGTTAAAACAATTTTTAAATATTGTATTAGACTATAGTTCAAAAAAATACTTCACAATAACAAAACATCAAACTCAAAATTAACAGCAGCTAGTTGCATCTGTTATGCGAAATTAACCCTAACTGCTTCACTTTTATATGACAACTGTAACTAATATTGTTTGTACAATGTTTTCAGGGCGGCATCAACAACAAATGTGATGTTCGCGTCTGCGCCGCTCACGAGACGCGCTTCCGCGTTGCAATTAGATACTTCAGACACTGACAATAAAGGTAATTTTAGCAAAACTATCAATGTAATAATCCAAATTATTAGTATGCAGGTAAGAAAATAGCGATTGATTCAGTACAGAGACAGTAGTAGCATGTTTTTTTTATATTGGCTATGTGCACGACGGTGGCGACGCGTAGCGTTTACAACATTTGCGGAAGCTGTCAAATAATAACAATGTAAACATTATAATTTTCTTTGCAAATATAAATAAAACCAAAAATTAAAATAGTATTGTTGACATTATTTAAGTGCAATTTATTCAATAGTTTTACTGTAAAATTATAATAATAATAAAAACCGGGTTTGAAACTATTACACATAATATTAGTTTCCAACCACAAACTGAGACAAAAGGCAATAAATTAGTATTAGCCGAGCATGTAAGAAATGTGGAAGAACTGCGACATAACGGCCAGAGTTACTTAATACGAGCCATGGGCCTTTCTTTGCCTTGATTGACACATTTTTGACAGCTGATCATCCCCATTTGTTTCCAATTTCTGCCATGTTGTGCGCTGCGGTCATTATCTGTCCACCACTACTCGCTTTGCACATAGCCAATAGACAAATCTTTGGTAAGCATCAGTCAGCCCAGTAACCCACCAATAGTTACTGTTTGTACTGCATCAATCTTTACTTTCTTAACCATATAACTTCGTTGACCACATTCATAAAGTCATGCCTAACTAGTTGAGCTAATAATAAAATGACATGGCGACATCCAGACATCTTCTCTTTCATTTTCATCTTCTTTGCTTCTCTCTTTAATGGGTCGATTAGAAAATAAAAGTAAATGTAATTTAAAGAAGGGTTTTTCAGTAACTTTTTCTCTATCTATATCTTTTCATTTACTGTGCTTTCTAACATCCTCTTTCTCCATTCATGCTGCTATAAAGGAGCTGTGATGTTCATGAGTTTCTGTAAGTATTTTCATCTTTCATTTCGTACTATAACTTATCTAAAATGGGCAAGCCTTTAATCAATTAGCATTTGACAGCTAAGCTGATTGGCCCAATATGACTGTATGCGTCACTAGCGCTACTAAGTAGAAAAAATATCAAAACTGATGTGTATAACTATTTTCATTGACAAATGATATCTCAACCTTGTAAAGGTACAATGATGGGTATATCATAATAATATTAAAGTAACCTTAAAGCCTCATTTAAGACTAATTTTCCTTGCATCATCATTACACTTACGGCCAAAATAATCGTCCCCCATAATAATTACCTTATACACAACTGAGTCATATGTAATTCGCTTCGCTATTGTATTGAGATCGGCTACGTCGTGACCTTGCACAAAGATTAAGAAAAGATTATGCTAATTCGCTGTGTAAGCCTCGTCCAGGTGTAATACTTTGATCTCATGTACGTGCGTTGTGAGAAAGTGTTTTTTGCGCCGGTAGAGGCGCTAATGTCGTGTAAAGCTGATCCAATAGAATATTTACTATTGGCAAAGTAATAGTCGAATAGATGTAACGAACTAAGCTGATTGGGCTAAAACCTTACACCTTACTAGCACCAATATCTCAGGATACTATCTATTGTTGAATTTAAATGATAGTTTTTATGTCAATAGAATATATATTATGCCATGAAAGTCTGACTTAAGGCTTGACTCAGATACAGGTCACATACAAAAGTTATGTCTAAAATTTTTTTATAATAACGACATTACGTATGCCTTTTTCATCAGTACTAAAACCTTTATTTTTAAATTGATTTCAATTACTAATTATTGACAAAATGCTAATAATTCGCACAATATCTAAAGATGTTTCTCTACAAAGACACATTAATCACTTCCAGATGAGCCCGAGCGCAGTCCAGCGCCAGTAATGTGGTCGTCTGTGGCGCGGCGGCGCACGGACCTGGTGCCGACGGTGCCCGCGCCGCGAGCGCCAGGTAGGGCCTACTCGATGACGCGGCTCGACCGACTCCCCTCCAGCCGACCGCTGCACTCCGCCTCGCCATCCATGCATCACCTCAACAGGGCTCGTAAGACCTTCAAAATCGCGTATCCAGCTTGGTTTCTGCGTTTTAAGTCTGGGTGCTTCGCTTCTCAAGGGTAGGGTGTGATATCGCTTCGCTGAGGTGTTCTGGCGTTCTAATGTTCTGTTTGTGGGATACGCTTGGCTCCTTTTTGGGTGTTTTTGATATAAAAGTTAGGCCAAAATATAAATTCGCGTGCGTATCACTCTAAAAAATTGGCCCTTGAAAATGCACACCTTGAGGTTTGAAGACAAAATCTAAAATTTCCCTAATATGATAAAAATAATTAGTTCACACTTACATGAATTTACTGCTTTACCCCATGGGGATAGATAGAAATTAATTATGAGCAATAAAAATAATTTCAATGAGGTGCTTCGCTTTGCGTTCCGTGCCTCCGTGTGCCAAGACAAGCTCATTTATGAATGTATGTGGCTAACTATATAATGCCTACAATATGCTTTGCTCTAAAGAGTGGTGTTTCAAATGTATTTCTTGACAATTACGATGATTTTAGCTGGTTTTCAGAGTGTGTAGTTGCTACAAATAAGCTTAGAATTAGACCAAAAAGTGGTCTGTTTGTGTGAATTTATTATTAGTTTAATTTCTTCTGAAATAAGTAGCGAATTAGATCAAAAGTAGTTCCAAAATTGTAACTTTCTTTTTTTTCGTCTGGCAATTCTATCGCGTGCGTTTGTGAGTGTTGCCAAGCGTTGACTATTCTGTCAACTTCGAAGTTTTTTGTGTCTTTGCTTTTTGGTTCACGCTAAGTAAATAAAATGGTAACTGCAGGGTGGTCGCTAAACACGCAATTAATGGCTTAATTATAATTGTTTTGTTATTGGAAAAATTCGTCACTAATTTTGTTATTAAGTTATAGTTGGGTAAATTGTCACTAACATTTTGGATATTTCAAGTATAAATATTGTTTATAACATTTTGGTATGTGTAGGAATGTGGTAGAAGAAGGGATATGAAAGAACTGAGTATAAGATTTATTTGGCAGTGAAAGGTTTTTTTACTAGAACGATAGCACCGCTTTTTGGCTGACAACGTTATTCGATAAATTATGTCCCACAAATTGGCTTAATTTTAATAACTTGGTATATTTGTGAATACACTTTCCTGGGGCACTTATTTTAAGTATCTTCTATATTTTACAAAATTATCGGGTCCTGTTATCCATTATCAAAATTCACCTCTATTCTAAATTTATCGTTTCGCACTGGGTCGCTTGGTTTGGGTATCATTTCTCTTCCATTTTGGTCTTTATTCCATACAGCGTTAGGCTTACTTTTGAAAACAACGGGCTAAAAGGTATTTATCGCTACCTTCCTACAGAATAATTCTTGTATGTACTGGTTTATGAGAATCTCTTAATAAGAGAATTAATAATAATAATTATTTTAAAATTACGCTTTGAACTAAGATCTGCGTTCGCGCACGCTTCACTGTGACTTAGAGAAATCTTTCTGTTATAACTTATATCAAATCACTAGCTACTTGCGCGCGGTTTCACCCGCTCTGCTCGGCTCCTATTAGTCGTAGTGAGATGTTTTATAGCCTATAACCCTCCTCGATAAATGCCTATCCAACACAAAAAGAATTATTCAATTCGAATTAGTAGTTTCGGAGATTCCCGCGTTCAAACAAAAAAACAAACTCTTCAGCTTTATAATATTAGTATTGATAATGTGTGAAATAACAACTACCAGTTACCATTGGTATGTCATCAGGATATTTCTCGCATTTCACTCGGTGTTTTGTTTTGCAAGTGTTGTAAACGGGCACACCTTTGGGCATAATTTAAAAAAACCAAAGCACACACGTTCACCTATTTTTTTTTTTACATATTATCAATAATGTAGTACCAGACGAACGGCAGGGTGCCACCCTTATATGTGGACATTCCACCCGTTCGCACAAAGTGTTTCGCGTCAAGCTTCCTTGTGCGAACAGCTAAGGAACTCCTTGGCGGAATCTGTCCCTCTCGACAATTTTAACTTGAGTGTCTTTAAATCCCGAGTGAACAGATTGCTCATAGGTAGGCGTGCTCCATCGTCGGCCACATCATCGCTTATCATCAGGCGAGATTGTGGCTAAACGACGACCTATCACTACATAGTATAAAACAAAGTCGCTATCCGCCGTCTGTCTGTCCCTATGTATGCTTAGATCTTTAAAACTACGCAACGGATTTAATGAGGTTTTTTTTTTCAATAGATAGAGTGATTCTTAAGGTAGGTTTATATGTAGAATACATGCATATTGCACGTGTGCGAAGCCAGGGCGGGTCGCTAGTTAAGTATAAAAAAACTCATAAGCCATTGCATACAAGGGCTATACGAAGTCTTGGTCTAGTATCTCCATGGTGGTGTTACCAGCTTCTAAAAAGGTGAGTGTCACTAATCGCTTTGCTTTCTAATCGGATGTGTACTTCTCACTTCCCTTCATCATGCACATGATGCACACAAAATGTACACGAAATTGAAAAAAAAATGCATGATTATAAAAAAGAAAATTCGAAACTTTGCTATGAAAATATTTGTAAATAAAATACAAAATTAATTGGTTTAAATGTTTAGTGTTCCAAAAGTTTATAAAGGGTGGTTTATATATAATTTAAAATTGCATTAATACATGAAAAAGTGACATCAAAATTAATAACAACTATTCTATGTCTCATCATCGTTCATTCTATATTGTCATTTTCACATTACATTTACATTTTATTGTATTATGTTTACTGTTAAACCACATAACAAGACATTGAGTAACACTGTTGCCTATGTATTTTTTTCTCATAGTAGGTAATGTCTATAATCTTCTAAAATGTCATTTTTATCTCCCTTCCTCTCTTTCCTTGTGTGGGAGATTTCAAGGTACAATTTATGTTGTGAAGGTAACTTCTTCCTGATACAAGGTCCATTCTTCTATTCTCATTTTGCACTTCTCTCTGTGTTGGTTTCTTAATAATTCAAACTCCTTGCTATGTCTTCCCAGTTTATACATACTTTGAAATACTGAATTTCAATAGTATACTGAATCAAAATTACCCCGCCAATATTATTCACACAACTTTTAAGGGCTCCGCTTAAACTCGAAACTTGTCGAACAATCCTTGTTACACAACATTATGCCTAAAGTTCACTTACGATGTAAAAGAGGGATGCTCTTTATGAATGATCAGAGAGAGATGAAACATCAATAAGTTTATCTATGATTGTTACACATAACAACAAGAGCACTATACAACTACAAGGTACATAATTAAATATCTATCTACATAACTAACATACCATTTCATAGTCATCCCTTCTCCTGGCTGTAAATAGTACTATGCACAGAGCCGCGGTCTGGCGACACGACACCCGGGTCGAGGCCGGGGAGTGCACTCTCCAACGCGACCGCAGTACTTCGCCGTCCTCACTCCGCGCCACGGAAACCACGCCCCGCATCCATTGCAGGCACTGGAGTTAATACGCCTAAAGGTATGATACAGAATATTAGGTCTTATTTTATTGAGTGTTAAGTCGTTTTTTTATTAATGTGTGTTCGGTTTATTTCTACTACTAAAATGAAGACTTATTTTCTTATTAATGAAGTCTTTGTTTTTTTATTGATGCGTGTTGAACTATTTTATATTACCTATTGTTTAAAGTGTGATTTTGTAGTAGTTTTTTGGAATTTGTACATTAATTCTTTAACTAATTAGGTCTAGTTCTGATTGAAGTTTTAGTAGTTTAGTTTTTATGTGTGTTTTTCGAGGTCCTAAATCACACACGGCGTCATATCATAATTATATTTCGATACGCGTCGTGTGTTACCGGCCTTATAATTTTAGATTTGTCGTATTGTAATTCTTATTGATGTGTGTTTAGGATTTAATTTTGGCTTTGTGTTCGATGTCAGCGATGTTTTTAATAATAATAATGTCGATGTTCTAACTTATGTGCTTTTAATGTAAATATTAATATTGTTTTAAGTTATTAACATTAGTATATTTAGATTTACATTGATTTAACTTAGAATTCGTATTTGAAATAATAAAATTAATTTTCAAAACCTCTGCAACAATAAATTTTAATATTGTACTCAAATGAGTGAAGTAACTTTTGAATACAATATTTTCGTCTGATTTTAAATACGTTTGTATATTGCATTGATCTTATATTCAAAGAATTCAGTGATATATACTTACTATTTACTTAGTTTTTTATGATAAATTTCGCGCGACTTGATTATGAAATTTCGCGTGACATAAAGACAATACGCTCAAACGAGTTGTCAACGAAAGAAAAAATGAGTTATTCCAACCAAACCCGTGTGTCAGGTGGAGTGGGCGAGTGCCCCGGCGGCAGCGCGGCGACGACGCCGAGCGTGTCGCGCGACGGCAGCGTGGTGGCGGGCGGGGACGCGCCGCGCCGCGCCACGCCCGCGCGCCGCCCGCGCCCCGCCTCGCTGCACGCCGCCAACGTGCATAGGACGCGTGAGTTACTCACCACTCATCACCCATATAATACGAATGATGTAATTAGTCCGTCAGTTAGGTAGTAAAAATTATTAGACACGTATTTCTTATTTTGTTGTATAATTAAATGATACTTAGATATAACGAATCAAAGTTTAGGAGTGGGAGCTACGTTTAGCAAGACGTTCATTACTGAATATATACTGAGGCCTATTAAACGAGCCAATTTCTTCAAATACATCAGTTGTAAACAAGTTGCATTTTCGTTAGTTTTTTTAATAAACATTTTATATCTCCAGCTCCGCCGGTGACGCCGGGTGAGGGCAAGCCACCAGTACACAGAAAGCCAAAGCCATCCAAAGAACATGATAAGGTAAATATTATTCCATTTAAAATTATTTAAAATTTGTTATACCTGAGATATATTAATTGAGAATCTGCTTTTTTGAAATCTATTAAAAACAACATAACATCACTCCTTTTATACCCAACGGTGTAGCCAGAGATGCACATTACGGCACTTAATGCCACTGTACAATGTAACACCCACTTTTCAATATTTATGTTATGAGATCCATGTATATGTGAGTCTATTGCCAATTGCCATATATCGGGCACGAAATCTTCACCGTGAATATATTAGTAATAGTATTAACATCGTTACTTATTTTACCCCACGCAGGGCGGGCGCGGCAAGTCCCTGTCGGCGTCCCCGGGCCGCACGCTGTCCCCTTCACCCGCGCACTCCAAGGACGCCAGCGTCGACAAGGAGATTAATAAGGTAACACTATTTACTGATACATTTTGAGGAGAATAGTTCAGTAGTATGTTGATAAGGTCTCAATTGAAATGGGGATTATATATATTCTCTCTTAGTCTTACGTTTTGGATGGGTATGAGGTCTTAAAGCGTTCAACGTCTGATTGAAGAAACTAGGGCCATCCAAAAGCAAAAACAATATAGAAGGTAATAATTATGACCTAAACTGCCCCCTTTAATTGATTATAAACCGGTATGAGAAAAAAATAGTCTTCACGTAAAATGACATATTTTACGTGAAGACTATTTTTCAACATCACACCTTTTATCCCCGATGGGCTAGGCAGAGGTGCACGTTACGACACTTAATGCAACTGTACAATGTAACACACACTTTTCACTATTTATGTTATGAGTCCCATGTAATAGGGGGTGAGCCTATTCCAGCCGGCCACAATTCCAGACTTCGTGCTATAAGTGAGAAATTTTTGAAAAACCCAGTAATACTTTGCTCGATCCGGTAATCGAACACGAGACCCCTTGCACGACTGCCTCGTTGGCTAAGTGGTCACAAATGCGACTACATTTTTCAGTCTTCGAAATACTTAAGATACTAACTGTACCTGAGTACTAATGTGGTTGCCCCCTGCAGCCGACGACGGAGGCGCGGCAGGTGGACGCGGCGGAGGTCAGCACCAAGCTGGAGGCGCTGCGGGGACACGACGGGGACGTACTGCCGCACGAGAAGGTACGGTGCATTTATATACTTCTACTATAATATGCTTAGGGCCGATTTTTCCAACTCCAGTTAAGTTTTTAGGAATAACCTTCATTTATTATTATTTTTCTATTTTTTTTTATATGTCATATCTTTTTCTCCAGGGACTCTTGTCCGTGCCCTTGTCATTCAATTACATTTTCTTTTATTTTAAAGTCAAAATTAATTGTTACAAAAATCTTACGTGCTACATTAACCACTTTTTTTTTCTTTTTTTTCACCGAGAAGGTCTACTTATAGTATAGTAACCTTCATTATTAGACAATTTCTCCATGCATCCATCTCCATCTGTCAAGTGTCAATTTTAATCCACAGTTGAGAATTATCTGTTGATTGCAAAATCGGCCCTTTATATTCTTAGAAGGAGTTTTAGGTCCAATATGTAAAAAAATCACTCGTCTAGTTAGAACTATCCTAGATAGATCGTCTAGTCCCCTATGATGACGTTGATGTTTCAAAAATTATGATACGATTCAGCACTTTTTAGATTTATCGCGTCGCGTTACTCTTTCTTTGAAATATTGCTAATAATGTCCATCTTACACTTAAAGGTAAACGAAATCAAAGAAACAGTAGAAGTTAAGGAAGAAACGAAAATCGAGCAAGTAACGGAGGTAACGAAACACGAAGAGAGAGCGAGCGAGAGGTCCGAGCAGAGAGACAAGGAGGAGAAGAAGGAACCCTCCGTCGACAAGACTGAAGATAATGAAATGACCGGTGAGTACTTTTACATCCAAACCTTATTAAAATTTTATTTAGCTGCAAATGGCGCATAATCATCATCAACAGCCTATAAATGCACACTGCTGAGCAAAGCCTCTTCTCACATGGAGAAGTTTGAGCATTAATCACCACGCTTGCTCAATGCGGGTTGGCGATTATGAACTTATAATTAGAAATTATAAGCCCAGGTTTCCTCACGATGTTTTCCTTCACCGTTTGTCAGTGGTGTCTGAATAATCTTAGAAAGTACATATAACTCGGGAAAAGTCACATTGTTACTTGCCGTTGGTAGGTTTCGAACCCGCACCCTCGTGCATGAGAAGCGGGCGTCTTAAAGCTCAGGGCCATCACGACATAATATTAAATACCTATTATTTCGCGCGACGATATCCGGCCACAGTAAGCACGGATATGTCGCAAGTTGGCTCGGAGCAAGAGGAACGGGGTAGTTTAGTCAGTGACTCTTATTGACACTTTCATGCCTGACCTAAGACGGGCAGTCATTAGATGATTCTCCCCCTCCTGAAGAAAAAAGCCCGTATGACATACCAAGTTTATTGGTATACTAGCTACTTCCGCGCGGTTGCACCCGCTCTGCTCGGCTCCTATTTAGCGTAGTGTGATGTTTTGTAGCTTATATATATAACCTTCCTCGATAAATGTACTATCCAACACAAAAATAATTATTGCAATCGGACCAGTAGTTCCGGAGATTAGCTCGTTCAAACAAACAAACAAACAAACTCTTCAGCTTTATAAATAGTATAAGAGTATAAGATATTGAAATACCATTAGTTGTGTTATAATGTACACTATGTTATCCCAGCGTCGATGACGGCGCGGCGTATAACGACGGAGGAGGAGGCGAAGGCCGCACTCGCTGAGCGACGACGACGCGCCAGGGAGGAACTCGAGAGACAGGCCGAGCTCGAGAGGCAGAGGTAATGTTATTGATATTATAAAGAACTATCCAATCCGGCGAACTCTGTTTCACCACCAGATGACTTTGTTTTGTGTAATTTTTCGTTTGGTGATTAAAAGATGAAAAATCATTTTTGCCTGAATTTTCTATACTATAAACCTCACGGAGCCAGAGACCTTACCAACCGTGAAAACCGTGGAAATCGGTTTGCGCGTTCTGGAGTTATAGCGTCAGGAAGGAAAACCCGACTTATTTTTATATAATAGATAAGTACATTTATTTGCAGGAAGTGTGGTAATTACAGATGATAGTAATTATAAAAAATAGTCCCACATACATGTACATCGCCTACTGTTTTCGACATGTAATGTTATATGTTACAATTAATAAACTTATTTTTAAAAATTTCGTACAATTAGGATAACAGATATTTTTTCTAAGGTATAATAGTATTAAATGAAAAAGTTTGTAAAGATATATGAATAAATATAATATGTATGTTCATTTGTTTGTTTGTAACTTGTTATCCTTTCACATAAAATCGTTTTATAGACTGCAACGCGAAGCCGAAGAAGAAGCAGAGCGGCAACGTCAGGAGGAGGAACGGCAACGTCGCGAGGAGGAGGAGGCGAGGGAACTGGCACAACTACAGAGGCAGATGAATGAAGAGAAACTTAGGAAGGCTATCGAGGTAATGCATACGCAATGGGGCCTACCGTATATCTTCCAATAGGGAATTAACTAGTGTCACGCCATTGGATGTTTAATATTTTACACAACCTCTGTGAATGGCCAAAAATGTCTTCTTGCATTTCCAACACCTGGTGACCAATAAATACGGTATTACGTTAGTATTATTGAGGTAACAACTGAATAGGAAGATCACTACTTGAAAGTATGCAATATTTGCCATAACATAAAGTCATTGCTTAAAACCTTGCGGAGTCAAATGAGTGGTCACTCAACTCCATGGCACTCATTTTAACTCGTTTTATAAATTCTATGGATAGATTTAGAACTAACATTTAATGTGAATCGATGTTTCCACAACTAAACATGTGTTGATAAAATCTCCTGTCAATTTTCCAGGCACAACAACAGCTCGAACGCGAAGAAGCTGAACGCAAAGCTCGCGAGGAAGCTGAGAGACAAGCGAGGCTTAAAGAGGACGAGGAGAAACGGAAGGCCGCCGAGGAGGCCGAGAAACTGCGCAGGGAGGAGGCAGAGAGGGAGGAGAAGGAACGACTCGCCAGGAAACAACGGGTCGAGGCCATCATGGCCAGGACTCGGCTCAGGAAGGTGAGATATACCATGGAACTGCGCCGTAGTCAGGGCCGATTTTTCTAACTCCAGATAAATTTTAACTAAGGAGTAACTTTGAATATTTGATAATTCTTCCATACTAAAAACTGTATATGAAAAAAATATTTTATTCTGCAGTTAAAAATTAACTGATGATTGAACAATGGGCCCTTAGTAGTAAATGAGTGGTTAATATTTTTTAAGTTAGATAGACATATACATAGTGTTAAATAATAGTTTTTCATTTGGTACCCATCATGGGGCGCTAATGAAATGATTAGGGTTAGCTTCGTTTATTGTTTTAAATTGATCCTCAAATTGCACATTAACTAAATATTCTTCTGGTCTAACGCGTCATGCTATATGAGCGGCATGATCCTCATGATACCACTCATTAAATTTCACTCAACTTGATGTCCAGGCTCCATCGTAGGCCACATCATCACTTACCATTGGGCGACATAGTAGCCAACCGTTGTACTACATCATATTTAAAAAAAAAAGATGGCGGTATTGTCAATCATCTCTTGATTACTCTTACAGCAAGCAGAAGAAGATAAGAACAAGCAATCAGCCCCTGCAGAGCCCAGTGCCCCCGCGGCCCCTGCAGCCCCCGCGGCCCCTGTGGCCCCCGCGGCCCCCGTGGCCCCCGCGGCCCCTGTAGAAGTAGAGGCGGCGGCCCCTGAAGCTGTGTCGGCCCCTGCACCTGATAATGGAAACGTCAGTGCCACCGCCGACCTACTCGGACTAGACTTCGCACAGGTATGTTAATAATATAAAATTTTAATGTATCAAAACTTTACAGTTGACACAAAACCTTTATTAATAACAAAATTAAAAAAATATGATATCATCCATTGATGACTTCAATTTTGTATTATTATAGAATTATGTCGTAAGGGAGCGTTAAAATATTGTTATTAAGTTCATTCCATTGTTGACGCTCGCGCTTTAACAAAGAGCGTATCCTATCATATTGTGGTGTGTTTGTAAAGTCGACAAAAATTTTATTATGCCCACTATAACCGTATCGATAGACATGCAAATGCAGATGTGTGAACATTCAAATAGACATCCATTTCCATGGTAACAATCTTTGGGATTTTGACCAATTAAAATACTTAGGCATTCTTCATGTGCATTATACAATAAGTCAATTTACTTAATAATGTCCACAGCCCCAAGAGAACAAGTCCGTGGAAGTAGGCAGCGGGGAGCCAGCGCCCGCCCCCGCCGCGACCAACAACGGGAACGTCACTGCCGACCTACTGGGACTGTCCGACCAACGACCTGTTAGTATACAACGCATTTTCTATAGTATTTGTATTTAGTTCAAATGCATTGACTTTGACTCAGGAACGTAGCGAAGCTTTGAAATACAGGTTGTATTTTATTGGATAACTTAATGATGTAACTGTTCAATGAGGTTACTCAAATTGTTACAAGCCAGAATAAGGGTGCACGAAGTTAGTTGAATCATTACGAGATTAGCAATTTAGTATACCTTGCGTACTTAAGACTTCATGGTATAACCAAAATTTCGTAAATAGAATGAAACATTGATGTAAATTATAGTACAATATTCGTAAAATACTTATCTTTTCTTACATGTTTTTACTAGTTGTTGCCTGTGACTTCGTCCACGTAGGATAGAATATTCACTTGTTTTGTTTCCATTTTTCAAAATGATAATAGTCTATGTTACTCTTTGTTACATCATCTACCTGCCAGTAAAAGTCCCGTCAAATCGTTCCAACTATTTCACAGATTAGCCAGTACAAACAGACATATACAGACTAGAATTTTTTTATACAAATGTTATTTTGGTATATGTATCGTATGTATTTCATATGCATGTATTAACTCGTCGAGTACCGTATCTATAGACATAGACACAATTAAAGAACAATAGGTTGCGGTCACCGGTGTCCTCGCGGTGTTTGACAGTTTAAGAAGCAGTTATTTCAATATTCCAAACTGACACTCCAATTTCATTTATCTGCATAGATTTACGAAATATCTATTCCAGACTGAGGACAAAACCGCAGAGCAGACGACGGCAATCAAACTCCCAACAAACGATAACGCACCAATCAATAACACGCCACTAGAGGCCAACAACGGCAACGTTCAGGCCAACATGGGCCTCGTGTCGGGCACGGGCCTGGTGTCGGGCACGGGCCTGGTGTCGGCGTCGTTCCTGCAGTCGGAGCGTCAGGCGGCGGAGGGCGCCAAGTTGGCGGACGTGGGCGCGCTGCGGGACGACGACTTCACCACGCACAACGGACATGGTACGCACGCCCACCCGCTGACGCTGCAGAATGCGATCTAATCGTCTCTAGCTAAGGTTGGTTATTGAATGCAGTCGGTTTTCATTGCGTATATATTGGCTGATAGTCGTGGGTTGTGATAGTGGCATGCTATTATTGATAATGGAGGTAGGTAGGTATTTATATTGACTCTTCTTTGACTACCGAGTGAACCCAAAGAATTTTCCAAAACCGAGATGTTTAAACGTCTTTTTGAAACTCCTTGGTGGTCAAATAATACTTGGATAAGACTTTAGAGGGCAGCACAAGCTTGTCTCGTTTGTTTGTGTGTAACGGTGCTTTGATTTTTGTTCACACATTGTTACTATCTCAAAAACTATTCTCAAAAAATGTTTTTTTTTTGTTATTCATCGTTGGTGCTAGGTAATGTTTATAGATAGAAATGTAATAGTAACAAATTATTAATCTAGACAAAGTGACCGGTTTAGAAGACGCTAGCTGAAATAGTCTATCTGTGTTAGCTTTTTATACATACAGATATTCTATAGAAATTTACATATATACATAACCTCACGCCTGTCTCCCTGAAGGTAGGCAGAGACTATGGAAATATCTTTAAAAATACTAGGATTTTCATTACAAAATTAACAATAGAGCGAGAATTTAAAAAATTGTTCTACAAAGACTCCATTCGAGTCCGAAACTAGTCGAGCTACCTCGAAACTTCATTTTTCACAAGGGTAACACGTTTACCCTACATCAAAGGGTAACTAGGGTAAAATCCAGTAGAATGGGCGATCTCTTCAAGCCAATATGTATGCGTGAAAACGTGGTTTGTATGTCTGTCACTCTACTAAATACTATAAACTAAAATATATACTGAAACTATTTATTTCTATTTAAAACACTTTCTTTAACTACATACAATTCTTGTGGTCATTTTCACCAACCACTCCTAAACCATCTCGTAACTAAGTGTTACTTAGACTGAGGGAGCACCTAAGCTAACTCTTACTAGTACAGTTAGGTGTCATTTATATGTAGGTGAAAACCAAAATGTAATTAAGTGCCACCTATCTTAGCTTTGGGGTTCCTTAAAGTGTAGGATAAGTTGGTGAAAAAGACATTAATTACTTAAACACAACTTGGATTGAAAACTTAAATAGTAAATATAAAATTTTTTTGTCAGTTCGTAAACAGTTTTGATAGTGATATAAGACTGACGCGATTATTTTCGCTAGTGGCTCCATCTACACATTGCGATTTCTGGCTGTTTCTTTAAAATAGTGTAATAATGCGTTAAGTCGCAGTCCGATTATTCTTATGTAATGAGTCCGTCACATTTTAATGTAGAATTTTAATAAAATAACCAGTTTTTTTGTCCAGTGATAGGTAATAAATAATAAATAATAATCCATAAACGAACAATATATGTAATGTTTTGTCTCTTTCATTCTAAAGCTATTAGCTATTAGAATGAGCAAGATAGACGATTCTATAGTAAAAAGGTTTGCTATAAAAGTTGTGTTTAAGTAAAAAAAATGCTATTTATTTCCACAGAGTGACAGATATAGAAGAAGGCACTAAATTATTATAATATTATTATATCATAAATTAATGCATTTATTATAAGTTATCGCAATCAACTTGGTTTTACTTATTAACTGCTAAAGTCAAAATATAAGCTTATTCATGTACAATCGAGTTTTGAAAGTAGTAGAAGCGACAAATGAAAATTCTGGCTTATATTCAATGAAGTAAGGTCTAAAGTTATATGCCAATTATACAATGTTATGTCCTGATATAGACATACTTTTATTGTTATATTTCTTAGGTTTTTTTATAAAGAAAATTCTGACTTATTTTCAATGAAATAAAGTCTAAAATCATATGCCAATTATTATAGTGCAATTTTTGTTTTCTTTTTTCACTTCTACTGCATTTCAAAACTCTGATTCGCTCATAGTTTTACATGAAAAACTAAATAATTTGTTATAATTATTCAAGCCGGTAGTCCCGACCAAATGAAGTTCTAAATCATGAATTACTGATAGATTTTCAACTGTAACCTTTTGTAATAGAGTTGAAAACCTTCTAGAATTTTTCGACTTAGCGACCGCTTATTGTCGAAATTTTCTGGTTCAAATATTTTCTAAATTCAAAACCCATACACATTGTTCATAATTATAAAACTTGTAGTCGAATCGATTGCAATAAAATATTCTTTAGACAACCAATATTTAGAATTAAGAATTAAAAAATTAAAACAATGTGTGATTTTATTAAATGAAGTTAATGCCAGGCCGCTAGATTTTTGTTTTCTATTACTATAATTTTGATACTTAAACCACTCTTTAAGGCAATTTTGAAAAACAACCTCATGTCCTAAGAGACAAAGATTAAAATTGCCTGTGTCTAAATTACTTTATCAGTGGTTTAGGTAAAATCGTAAATACAGAATATATTTTGTAATACAGAACAAGCATAATATTTATTCAATGCTAAATGTTAGTAAGTAAAAAATATATTTAAAAAAAAAACTAAGTCCTTTTTAGACGGATTTGTTTTTTCTTTGAAGTTCTTTATTTGAAATTTCGTCTCGTCATTGGTGTTGTGTGATACGTTCGAAATAAGTTCTATTTTTAATTTGTAATATAATTTTTAATTCGCTTACTAGTAGTAATTGTGCAATTACAAAAGCGCTGGCAAATAATGAAAGAATGAAATGAAGGGAAAATTATAACAAATATTAACTAAAAACGAATGAATTCGAGCATTTAATAGGAGTTTACGTCATCAATTTTATTAAAAGACAAGTAATTGAGCTAAATAGCTCTTACTAATAAAAAACTAAACATCATTTCGTTAGACTATTTATAAGCCTTAACAACGATTGGCTACATATTCATAACAAAGACCAAACCAAACCACACACATTTGGTTTAAAGTAAATACTAGAAAATATCCAAGGCAAATGAAATGCCGCATTTGCGACACCAACTGCAAAATACAACAAACTTAAAGTTTGTCAATCGACATGTCTCCGTATTCAGTAATATAATAAAGATATATTTTACCTAAGTAAAAAGTGTATAGTTTCTTTCATAAAAGTCAAATTGAAGCTTGATAAATACACGCACATGCATTCTTGAATACGGATTGATAGTGTCGAAACGGAACTACGACGCTATAATTTGTTTTCTAAATAAATATATAGAGAAACAATAAAATGTAACAGTATATATATTTGGGGTTGATGAAGTTATGCTTAATAAAGTTACGATAATGTAATTTAAGTTATTTAACAAGTTATGTATACAAATTTTTGTATGATAGTTAGATAGCATTCAATGTTATTCGGCTTTTTAAAGGATGTTGAAATAAAATCTAGTTATCTGATGCCGTTTCGGTTGATGAACGAGGTTACAATGGGTTGCATTAATATTATTTTCAACTGAACTAAGATTCTAACAGTTTAATAGTTATTGTATAAATTAATTATTACGTCTAAAGTTATAGTTATGTTTTCATATAAAAGTGTTGCTAACTATTATTAATGTGTTAAGATTTTTAAACTTATTAGCGTTTCAGTTCTTTCCCTGTTTTTTTTATGAGTTTTCTATGAAAATGTAACTAGGACTGGTTGACTCGGGAGGTGGCTCCCTCTAACTGTATATTATTCCATAATATTTTCTTTCACATAATAATAATAGTAGTTTTTTTCCAATTTAACCTCTGTTGTGTGTTGAACACATTGTTTTGTGCGTTTAGCGAAGTTAGATAAAGGTTAGTTATTGAAAATGTTTACGGGGTAATCTTGTTTTAGGGTAAAAGTGGTACTCTTACCCTTCTCTTATGAAAAGAGATACCCTACATTGTAAGTCGTTTGTGTATGCGAGATATATATCCCAGTGTACTCAACACACCACAGAGGTACATTCACAACAGCTGTCACGCAACTGTCACTTTGACACATGTTTGACAGCTGTCGTTAGTGTCAAATTTAACAAATTTATCATACGATTTTTGCTTGTAGGTAACATTTGTACGATTTGTGTTTTATTTTGCTTATACATCCACTTTTAATCGTTCAAATTATATAAAAAATCATGTAGATGTGTCACGGCCTTAATATTATTATACAAATGTGTTTAGGACGGTGACGCTCGTCAGTCAGATGGGTTTATGCTGATTTCTTCTGAAATGTGTTGCGTCTATTTTCAGATAAAGTTACTGCATTCGAAAGTATCTTACGGCGGGCAAACTGTTCAGGGAAGCGCTTGAACAAACATTGATATTACTTACTGAATAATTTGATAGCAATAAAAAACCTTCATAGATTATAATCTTGCCAACTTGTTATCAATGAAATTGGAACTGAAATTATCAACTGTCGCATTATTCAGTAGGAATGTTTTACAATGTGTTTTCAAGTATTTCCAATGTATAATTTGTAATATTTTATTAAATTAACCAGTGTGACAGGTCGCCTTCGATATCAAGTCGACCCTCATGTTCCATACATAGTCTGAATGTTATAATTATAAGTTTAAATGAGTTGACGAACGCCACAAGTTGCGTATAAAATCTACACTATAGGTACAGTGAACGCGACAAGAATACCAAAATAAGCTAGTCGAAAAATATTATGTAATTATTGAAGAGATTGTGCTATTTAATGTAAAATTTTCAAATTCAAACAAAATGTCGGGTAAGTAATAGTAGCATTAGTGAAACAAGTATGGCGGCCTGTCACACTGCACTCGCGCATGTATGTGTGTGTGCGTGTGTATGTTGTACGTGTGTGTGTGAGGTCCATTCATCGGTACGGTTGTAGTCGTTGATGGTATGTGTTTGTTATCATACATAGATGGGCAAGGCTTTGTGCGTTATGTAACTACTGTATTACGTTTATAAACATCATGGATTTATTAAATGAAACAATTTTAATACGAAAATAAATACAAAGAAGTTAGTTTTGTGTTTTATTGCTTTTTGTTCCTGGGTTTTATTATTATACAATTTAGAAAGAGTATTCTCTCTATCAGCTTTATCAGTCGCA